ATTAAAACTGGTCATCTGCCCACATGGAAGAAGCACACCAGCCTGTGCAATCATGAGGTATCAATGGATTCAGGTAATAGGCACCCAAAGACCCAAAACAAACAACCCCCCCCCACCTCAACATATTGTTGAGAATAAGGGGGGTTGGAGCAGAGACCAAAAAAACATCTGTAAACAATGGGACATCCCCTCACAGAAGGGTCATGAGGAAGGAATGAGTCAACCAGGGTGCAGTATAGCACCAATGAAACACACAATACTCCTCTGGTTCTTTAAGGCTTCCCACTATCATGACCTCAGTCCTGCCTTTCAGTTCTGGCCAGACCAGAACAAGCACACTGGTACAGTTAAGAGCTCCCGACACGGAATCTAGGTCAGATAACCCCTCAGGAACAGAAATGGGAGTAGTGATAACAGGAGAGTAGAGGGAAGGTGGGGGGAGGAGGGAGGGATCCCATTGATAAACACATAACCACACAGACACACACAACCCAGGGGAAGGAGGGAGACCAGCAATCGGAGAATAAAAGGAGCTAATACCAAGGGCTCAAGCAGAAAGAAAATGCTTTGGAAATGATGATGGCAACATATGTACAAATATGCTTGATACAACTGATGTATGGAACGCTACAAGAGCTTAAGAGCCCCCAATAAAATGATTTTTTTAAAACCTGGTCATCTGTTTTTGTTTTGCTTTGCGCTGTCATCTGTTTTTCTTGCTGTTGATGTTAGTTAGGGACCACCGAGTGAGTGCCAATTCCTAGCGAACGCAGGCACAACAGAATGAAACACTGCCCGGTCCTGTGCCATCCTCACTGTGGTTATATTTGAGCCCATTGTTTTGCTTTGCTTTTCCCCATAAACAAAACTTTATTGACAAAACTGACATGAAAACAGGTGTTTACTGCCGGGCACTTTGAGAGAAAAGTCAAATGTTAAGAACTACGTTATCTTGGTAGATGAACCGTAATTCCTGCGTGAGAAGGCTTTCTGTGACATACAGGAATCAGGAAGTCAGTGCTGCTTTAGTGTTGCTTTCTCTGAGAAGAACAGCCTGGTGTACGGCGGGCTTTTCCTCCTGCAGGCTGACACCACACTGCTGAGCAACCTACAGAGACCCACAGTCTGTGCATGGCTGGAAACTGAGCTCATCTTGTCACAGCTTGGACATTTTACATCCAGAAAGAGTTTGGGCCTTGAAGTCGGCATTTCTTTGGATGCTCTTTCTTGTCCTCCACCAGGGACGGCTGTAAGACACCTGGAGCCACAGCATGCTGCTCCTCTCTCGAGCCTGAACTGGAAGAACTACAGTGACAGCGTCAGCTGACAGCGCTCGGTCCCACTGTTGTCCTTAGCAACGGAAACACAGGAATGTTTGCTGTCAGGTCACGGCCAACTCATAGCAAGCAACCCCATCTGTGTCAGAGTAGACAGGATTTTCAATAGCTGCTCGTGATGGTGTGGTAAGTTGCGTGTTGGGTTGCTAACCACCAGGTCAGCAGCTCAAAGTCACCAGCCACTCCTTGAGAGAAAGAGGAGGCTTTCTACCCCTATAAAGAGTGACAGTCTTGAAAACCCACAGGGGCAGGTCCACTCTGTCCTACAGTGTCGAGATGAGTCAGAAACAACTGAACGGCCTGACTCTGTTTGGGGAGATCATTAAGCCTTTCTACCGAGGTCCTTCTAGGTCAGCAGTTCTCAACTGGTGGGTTGCGACCCCTTTGGGGCTCAAACGACCCTTTCACAGGGGTGGCCCGATGCATTAACAGTAGAAAATTACAGTTATGAAGTAGCAACGAAAATAATTCTATAGTTGGGGAATCACCACAACATGAGGCACTGCATTAAAGGGCCGTGGCATGAGAAAGGTTGAGAACCACTGCTCTAGGTGGTCTCAAACGCCCAACCTTCAGAGCGCATTAACTATCTCAAACACGCAGCTCCTTACTCCTCAGGACCAGATTAGTAAGTGTGAGCTCTTATTAAGAATGTCAAGAGCAGAGGCATTCCAAAAGCATCAAGACAATTCGATTTATCTGCATTTCATCTTGTTTAATAAGACAAGGCAGCAAGATAACATAATACCAACTTATGAAATGAAAGTGAAAGGCAGCACAGCTTAAGGAACCCTGGACTGCGAGATAGCAAACCCCCATTGTTTGTTGGCTGAAGGCTGGGAGGCTGTCTGTCTGAATTTTTCAGAAGCCTGTAGGTGAACGCTAATGTGTTTCCCACACAATTGAGTATGGCTTGTGGATTGACATGCTCTGTATGAAATTACTGTTTACAGAGGTTAAGAGTTCTAAATGGGCAAATAAAGGCTACCTCAGCTGTCTATTTCACAAGAAGGAACATCCCAGGAGACAATTAAGCAAACAACAGCGCAAGTGGTGGGATACCCAAAGGAAAGCGAGTGAGCGGGATTGCTCAGCAGAAGCTGAGGCCGGGAGAAGGCACGATGAAGGTGAGTCAGAAAGTGGGAGCGCAGGCAGAGGTGCAGGTGTGGTCCACACCCAATGCAGCAAACGTCTCTCTGAGATCAGTGGGTAACTAACTCAGCAACACACGGGCCTTCGCCCAGTGAAGGTGCCTTCAAAGGAAAAGGTCCCATCCAAGCAGTGGCTTCCAATGGGACCTGCTGGGTCAATTAAGTTCCAGAGAGAAAGGTCAGCTCACAAGGTGATGGCGACTTTTGTGGGATCCCAAAGTGGTAGGGAATCTTGATGGATTTTCTTGAAGAATACAGGACAAAAATGGGGACTTAATAGGCAGAAATTTGAAGAAAACCAAAAACCGCACCGGTGAGGAGCAGCTCAGGAAAGGTTGCACTGAGGAATGTTTTCCATGGCGACCATGCACCTGCTCATCCTTAGGGGGAGCAAGGGCTGAAATCCTGTAAGGATTTCATTAGGAAACCTTACCCCACCCGCCCTGCAGCTGGGACTGCCCCTTTGGACTGCTTGTTGTTCCCCAAACACAGAGAATATTCCAGAGACACCGAGTGTGAGACCCTGTAAGCTGAAGAGCATAGAAGTATTCGGGGAAGGCGACAAAGGACGAATATACTTCCTCCTGAAGTGTACCAACCTAGATGGAGCACGTGCTGAGAAACGATAGCTTGGTGTTTGTTTGTTTTTCTTTTTAATAAAAGCTTCTGTCTGTCTTTTGTAGCGGGGCTTTTTGACTTACCCTCATGTGAGTTAGCTGGCAGGGGGATTCTTCTGGAATGAGGAGAGAAGCCAAGTCACAGCCACCACTGCCGTCAAGTCAATTCCGACTCACTGAGACCAGAGGTGAGACACTTCTGGACTCACTAAGACCAAGCAGAACTGCCCCTCTAAGTCTCCAAGGCTGGAAATCTTTATGGGAGCAGAAAGTCTTATCTTCCTCCTGAGGAGCAGGCTGGCGCAGAACCACTGATCTGAAGGTTCCTAGCCCTTACCAGACATCCTCAAACTACGGCCCACAGGCCACATGCACCCCCACCCCACCCCACCCCCCGACATGTATCCAGCCCGCCAGGTATTTATTTTTTTACTTCAAAATAAGATATGGACAGTGTGCATAGGAATTTGTTCATAGTTTTTTTTTAACACTATAGTCCAGCCCTCCAACGGGTCTGAGGGACAGTGAACTGGCCCCTGTTTAAAAAGTTTGAGGACCCCTTCCTTACACCATCAGGGTTCCTTGGAAGCTAGGCAAGGGGAGAGAAAGAATGAGCAGAGCACTTGGGAGTCACCTGCTGTTGACTCTCTGCACCTGGACTGGGACGGCAACTAGGATGAGAGACATTGGGTGGGAGTGCAGGGAGCTCGGTGAACTTCATCTGGATCAGAGGAAACTGGACCAAAAAGGAGAGCCCAGACTGGAACAGGAGAGCTCAAAGCTCAAGGCACTGACCACGAGAAATGGCGTCCATCCGTGCTGTCAGAACGACCTATGTGAGGATGTTGGGCAGGTTTTGGTTTAATACGTAAAATCAAACTAACTCTAAGGATCCTTCAACAAGCTAGACTGAGTCGGCTGGGCAAGTTCATCTATAACTACCAGACTGCAACAAAAAGCTTAACCCTACAGGTGGACACACGGGCTCCCCAACACATACTTATCACTGTCCTTCCCAATACACGTTTGAGACGTCCTGTTAGGTTTAAGTGACAGAGACACAGATGTTCACAATCATCAGTGACCAGTGTTCCATTTCACGAGGCACCTGTTATTCCACCCATTAGCAAAGAACAGCCCAAGGAGGTTTTGGGGCAAAATTCAAGAAAACAACTGCCCAACAGCCCCAGGCAAAACAATGTGTCTCACTTGCTTTCCTTCATCTAGTCTTACCGCCTCAACAATGCCCTTTGCCAAGACAACTATTGTAAAATGCTTTTCGATCACAGACCTTCAGGAGGTCCAACTCTTCAGCTTAGCATGACCAATGCACGCACCTCTCCAGTCAGTTCCCTGGGTACTTCCCGTTCTAACCATCGCGATGCGTCTCTCTGACGTTCGTGCTTTAATGTCAGGGTCCAAGCCACTGCCCGTGACTAGAGAGTAAGACCTGACACCTGACTCCCATTCTGGCTCCAAACATGGACTGCATGAGAAATCCTCTTCCTGCCCCAAGCTTCCGGCCCTGGGCCCCCTCCTTCTCAGAGCAGGGCAGCACCAGACCTTGGCCTTCCTCCTCACACCAGGGTGCCCAGCCCTCCACCAGCACTCCCCAGAGTAGGCTGGGGATCACTCGTGGTCTCAGCAGTCTCGCCTCGCTGCCTGTGAGCCTCCCCAAAGATCAGGTCGTTGCTCTCATCTCTACTTCTTACACCTAACACACCTGACTTCCAGGGAGCTGTCACTGTCCCCAGCCCCTCCAGAACCACTCTTCCCCCCTCTCCAAATCCCTGCCTGCACTGCCCCCAAATGTCTCTCACCCAGGGATAGCTTCTCCTCTCCCCCTTCCATCCTCTTCCCACCCCAACCAGAATTCCCATTCTAGCCAGACTCACAGAGTGTCAAAGCTGAAGGGGACCTCAGATATTATCGGGACCAGCGGCTTCCAAATGCCCGTCGGCAGACTGCTTCTGGGCTAACTGCAAAAGAGTAAGACGAGGAACAACTTTAAAGCACAAATTCCCAGGCTCCACCCACCAGGAAACTTCTGCTCCAATCAGTCTGGGATGGGCCCCTGGCATCTGCATTTTTTTTTAAGCTTTCCAGTGGAGTCTAGTTTGCTGGTCTAGACTAACCTCCTCCTTTTGCCCTAGGGCTCGGAAACAAGAATTCAGTCATTAGACACCGACCAAAGAACAAGAATTAGGCCTGGCGCTGAGGACACATATGCTTCACCTGAGCGCTCCCACGGAACCAATGCAGAGCCTGCAGCTCCCTTCACAGACACCCGAGGGCTCACCATGGGCACCCCATCATCTGAAGTTAACCGCACCACCAACCCCACTGTGCTCAGTTGGCTCCACAGTCTGCCTTGAGGAGCCCTGGGGCACAGTGGATCCGCACAGGGCTGCAGTTTGAAGCCACAAGTCACTCCTGGGGAGTAAGGTGGGGCTTCCTACTCCGGGAAAGAGTTCGAGTCTCAGAAACTCACAGGGACGGTTCTGTTGGTGCTAAGTGCCACTGAGTCTGTTCCGTCCCACAGCAACCCCATGCACAACACACCAAACACTGCCCGGGCCTCACAGCTGTTCCTGAGCCTGCACCCACTGTTGCAGCCACAGTGCCAATCCAGCTTCTTGAGGGCCTGCCTCTTTCTCCCTGGCCCTCCACTTCACCAAGCAAGATGTGCTTCTCCATGGATTACTGGGCTCTGCTGACAACATGTTCAAAATGCAGAAGACTCTGAAATCTTGCTCTCCGTGCCGCTTAAGGAACACTCTGGCCTGATTTCTTCCAAGACAGATGTGTTTGTCCTTTTAGCAGTCCATGGTATTTTCAGTATTCTTCTCCAGCATCACAATTCAAATGCATCAATTCTTCTTTAGTTTTCCTTATTTGATGTGCAACTTTCACATGCATATGATGCGAGTGAAAATACCACAGCTCTGGTCAGGTATATCTTAATCCTCAAAATTACATCCTTGCTTTTCAATACTTAAAAGAGGTCTTGGTACCTAATGCAACACATCTTTTGATCTCGTTTGCTAATTCAATGAGCATTTATTGTGGATCCAAGTAAGACAAAATCCTTAACAACTTCAATCTTGTTCCCATTTATCATGATGTTAACTATTGGTCTAGTTTTGAGGATTGTGGTCTTCTTTACATGGAATTGTAATCCATACTGAAGCCCATGGTCCTTGATCTTCATCAGCAAGTGCTTAAGGTGCTCCTCAATTTCAGCAAGCAAGGTTGTGTCACCTGCTTATCTCAGATTGTTAAAAAGCCTTCCTCCAATGCTGATGCCACACTCTTCTTCATATAATCCAGCTATGATGATTTGCTCATCATTCAGATTGAATCAGTTTGGTGAGAGGATAAAACCCTGATGTACACCTTTCCTGATTTTAAACCGCGGAGTATCCCCTTGTTAAGTCTGTACAACTAGGTCTTGATCCAAGTAGTTATGCCCTGTCCTACAGAAACCTATAGGGTCGTTCAGTGACTCAATGGCAGTGAGTTTAGTTTGGTAGTTATTTCGGCATATACATTCTGTCTTGTTAGATTAGATTAGCTTCTGAATTATTCACTGGGATCCTGTCAGACCTAGGCTTGGACACGATCTCGGCCTGAGTGTTACTGGTGTTGCGTGCCGAGTCCACTCTCACTCACAGCCACCCTGGATGACAGGCTACAGCCGTCACTAGCTTTCCCATAAAGGCGGAAAATCTAGAGTACTGTACTGGGTTTGTTACATTCCAATCACTGCACTGACCTTTTCGTTGGCAGCCAAAGGACCTAGCCATTGCACCATCTTGGATGTAGACTAGGGTATTAACGTCAGCCCTATGTATATCCAAGCTCTAACTCTTGATTTCTTTGTAGTGACTTCCTCATTTCAGACAGCGACAGTTCATCCTTCCAGTAATGTGGGCCAAAAATCTTGACATATCTAGAGTCCTCTCTTTCTGCTATGACTGAACTGTGTCCCCCAAAACATTCGTATCCCCTCGACGTGTAAGTAGGAGTCCCGGGGTGGCACAAATGGGAAAGCACTAGAATATCAAACCCACCCTGACACCACTTGAAGACCAATCTAGCAATGTGCCTCTAAATGGCCACAAGCCTGGGAAAGCGCTCTAGGGCACAGCTTGACTCTGTACTCATTGGGTCACCGTGTGTCAGAATCAACAGCAATTGGCAGCAGCAATACCTGTATGGAAGTACATACTACCCTGTCAGGAAGCAGGGTGGGGTTGGGTGGGGAGGGGTGGGGGTTGTTATACCAATCAGGTCAGCCCTGAACAGGACTGGTCTTCAGTCTAATCACTCAGGAGTTATAAAGAGGCCCTCCAAGAGGGATGAGACCATGTATCCACATGACCATGAAAGCCAGGAAGGAAATGTGCAAGTGAGGCCCTTCTCCCTAGAACAATGTCCTGAATTGGGGCTTCTAGGCTCCTGAACACTGAGAGCATGATCTTCTGTTATTTAAATCCACCCCACTTGTGGTATTTCTGTTAAGGCAGTACTAGATAACTGAGACACTTTCTTCACACCCTTCATCCAAGCGATAAGAAACTCTGTGATGCTACCTTTCGAGCACACGCAGTCCAATCTTATCTCACAACCTGCAACCATGGTGTCTCTCATGGTTCCTCCAACAGCCAGCTCACCAGCCCCCTGCCTCGACCTCCACCATTCTTTGGGTCCTCCTCCAAAACAGACGCCAGATCATGTGATGCCTCTCCTCAAAATCCCCCAACGGCAATCCACCTCAGAAACATCTAGTTTGAGGCCTGCTTACAAGGTCCCCATGCAGGAACTAACCGCCCTCTGGGCCCTCTACCCTCCCTGCCACTCAGTCTGCCCCAGGCACACACAGGCCTCTCCGCTCTGCTTGAATTCCCCAGGTCTCTCTGTGGCTTGGTCCCTCACTTCCTTCAGTCCTTCACTCAAGTGTAAGGTGACTAGACGCCCCGCTTTTGGTGGGACAGTCCTGATTTTTAACACATTTTCCTGCGTCCTGCGGCATTTTAAAATAGTCCCAATTTTTGGAAAGAATGCACAACAAGCTAGGGTATATGATTTTCGGCTGCCGTGTGGCTATTTTGGCAGGATATGAGTTTTGTAAATGATGTCCCGCTTTTTTCCCGCTTTACCAATGTTAAAATCTGGTCACCTTACTCAAATGCCACTTTGTCAGGCGTTTCCCAGGACTGTCCCATAGGAGATACCAGCTCCACCTCCACCACCAAGTCCCACGGTCACTCTCAGTGCTCTACTGCTTCTTCACAGCTTTCGTCACCACCTGACATACAAGGGGACTCCAAAACATATGTGGGGAAATGGGAGTAAAAGACCCTGGAATTTCTCCATGAGCGTTTCTGACCTGCTTTTGTATTCTTAGACATCTCTGTCTTTGCTGTCTGTTTCTAAGGCCCAGTCTGTGTACTGGAAGAGGTGACCCACCGCTTGAAAGGTGGGACAGGCTGCTCATTTGGCCAGAACCAACATTGTTCAAAGCTCGCCACAGATTCTCAGACAGGTTTATTACCAGCCAGATGCTGGCAAATGGCCAGCTCTTTTTTCTTTCCTTTTTTTTTTTTTGTTGGGGGGAGAGGGGGCTTTAAATTTTTTTTTTATTTTGTAACAACTAGAGAGATCTTGAGAGTGGTAGGGAGACCTTGCCAATGGGAAGGGGGTTGTCTGAAGTGGCATTTGTCTATGAACCTTGGGGTGCTGTAGGGTTTGATTAAGTTAAATATTTTACCAGTAGAAAATGCCTACTGGTCACTGTCCCAACAATCAGGTCACCTGTCCAGAGGGTGGAATCCACAAGCCGCTGGCAGAGAGGGGAAGCTGGCTCTGAGAGCCATGGGGACGAGGGGGCACAGCAGAGTCTTCAGCCTTAAAGATGATTTGGGGGGAGGGTGCACAGAGACACAACTCCATATTGACTGGGGTGGGTCAATTGTTTCTAAGGGCTCAATATCCTCCTCTTCTGGATCATCAGCCCATATGTTCCCATCCCATGTTTTGGGGTCCCAACTTTTCCCAACCAATGCCCTTACTTTGGTTTCAGACACTGCTCTAGATCTGCAATTCAGCTGCCGTTGTAATTCAGCCACTCGTATAATGAGACTCTGGACCTGATTCTCGGAAATGTCAGCTCTTTTACTAGAGGAGAGAAGGCTCTCCTTTGTAGCACAGATGGAAGTTTTAAAATCCGTTAGTCTGCACTTAAGGCGCGCTTTTGAGGCTCTGAGATCATCCCTCTCCTTAATCACACTGTCCATTGTAAGAAGGACCAGCCAACCAGCTTCCCTATACTTGTCATCCTTACAAAACTCCTGGAAAATATCAAACATATGATCACTCAGAGCCTCTCCTTTAACCAGCACCTCATCTACCGTTGGTGCTATTTTAGGTATTATTTTTGCTATTTCACACCATGCTGATTTATCCATGCTTTGGGATGTTGAAGTAGCATCACTAGTGTTAAGACTAATCAGGCTGGAGAGCCAATTTAAGAAGCCCATATTTATGATTTTATTTCTCTAGAAGCACTCCTGGTACCAAAATGTGTTAGACAGGGTTCTCTAGAGAGATAAAACCAAATTTCTGATAATCTAATATATTTATTTATAAAGATAATTAGATATATAACAAGAAATTAACTGTTAAATCATATACAGATAAATATATAATGCAAGAAATAAACAGTTAAATTATAAAGCACTACAAACGGCTCAGTGCAACTCATATCCGTGAGAGAAAGTTGAGATACTAGCAGTCCTTCAAGTCTAGTCTGCTGCCAGATCTTCCTCTACAGTGGACCCTCGCCACTTCGCGCTTCGACTTCCGCGGTTTCACTCTATTGCGTTTTTTGCGTAACAGCGCATGCTCTGTCATTACTGCCAATGATCGGCTCATACTGTACACGCTTCTGTCTGCATCGCTACGTATCGGAGCTACG